CACCTGGGCTGGAACAGAATCTCTGGTGAGATGCCAGGCTGGAAATACTCTCTTTCTTAGCCGTTCTTTTACTTAATCCCTCTGTAACTAAACACCATTTTTATCGATTTTCCCTGTGCATCTTCTTTTGGCTCATGCCCAGTGTCCTTTTAAGCATGCGAATGAGGACACAGTGCATGAGTCGGCCCTGGTTTCCCTGAATGTTTATTCCATTACAAGACCATATTTTTTCGTCTTGAACATTTTTGTAGATTGCTGCATGAACTTTGCATTTTTATCGACGTAATCCAAAGTGACCATGACTTCTTCATACTCTAACACTGGCACAGACCTGAATTTTCATTGTTTGAAATGTGAGCCAAGTGGTGTCAGGCTGCTGTGAACATTGCCAGGATGAATCTTCCACAAAAGTAATTTTTTTCCAGTATTTAGTAAATATATTACCACATTCATGGCAATACATTTCTGATTTAATATAAATTAAGGATGTTTTCTAGTTGTGCATGAATACTGGCAACTAAGCATTTTTTGACAATTGTTTAAAAATATAATGTTGACTTTAGGCTTAAAACGTTGGTAACTGGGCTTTTGTCATTTGTGTTAAAAATATGAATGCTTGGGACCCTCCCTGGTGGCGCAACATGTTAAAGCACAGCACTATGAGGCTATCCTTAGGCACTGCAGCACAAGTTCTATCCCTAGCCAAAGAGGTCACCCACATGGTGCAGCAGACCTCTTCTGTTCTGCCTGCTGCTCTCCTCAACAGTGTATGTCTGTCAATCTGCCTGTTTTGTTCCTCATTCTGACTCTGGTGACTCCTCTCACCACTACCCCCGCCTCTGGCCTGTACCCCAGATCTGTATGCATAAATAAGAAGATCTTTTTTTTTGTACTAAGGCAAGTTCTGTATAGTTCATTGTCATCCATTTGATGGAAGAAAAAAGTGAATGTCTGGTGCATTCTCTCCTGTGTGAGAGAAAAAAAAATTCGAGGAGCCTAATAGAGGGAATTCCAGGCCCCTTCTAAAAATGTAATTATTATTATTGGGTTAAATCTAGTTCTTGCTAATTATATGTATATACTTTTATTTTTCCTTGTCTTTTGTCCTCTTTTGGGTTAATCAAGTATTCTTAGCATTCCATTTTACCTTCACTAGTTCTTGTTCTAGGAAAGTAAATATGCCTACCTAATTTATCATAATCTACCCTTATATTAATGTTATACCACTTCATGTACAGTGTAAGAAATTTCAGAAAATGTTATAAATTAGAATCATATTAGAAAATGATTCCTTTTTCTTCTCCTATAGCCTTTGTTACTGTTACATATATTTTATTTTTTACCTGTTACATTATTCAAAAATCTTTTAATATACCTTAATTTTACCACTAAATTCCCTTTTCTTTCTTTGAGGGTGGGGGAAATCAAAGCATAGATCGATACTGAAGAAAGCATCTAGAACTAATATCCCTTCAATAAGTGTTCTTCCACTTTAATTTTGGAAAATAATCCATTCTTCCTGTTTTAAGAACTAAAAGAAAATGTGAACTCAATGTCAGATTTGCATAAATGTTAAAAAAATATATATATAACATTCACAGCTCACTTTTCTTTCCAGGTGATTTCTCCACAAAACTTGAGAAAGTCAGAAGAGCCCCATCTCTTAGCTAGAACAGAACATTTTGTACAGGAAAAAAAAAATTCAAAGTAATGCATAATTTTATCACAGGGTTCAGATATAGAAAGTAACATTAACACCTACTAACTTCAAACGAAAAATTTAGTCACTAATATTCTCATTTTCCAAACATTAAAAACTGAAAACTTCTTAAACAGTTATTAAATAACCACCAAGCATCAAAAATTAACATACATGTTTTCCAAGATTTGCCAGGTAGAGGCTACCAAATTACTTAAATTTTAATTATGTGAAAATAAAAACTACTCTGATGTAGATAAATAAAATGGAAGGTTTTTTAAATTGTATTTGTTCTATAAAACTATTTGTACCTGATCAGATACAATTTGTGGAGATAAACTTCACCTGCCAATGAGAATATCAATTTCATACATCTTTTAGAACATGATCATCAGTAAGATGATGGGAAAGTATAAAAAAAGCAAGATATGGTTTCATTCTCTCTTTACTGTGAATGTCTTCTCAAGATTAAAAGTTGGAAGTTCTGGGGCTTTTTTTTTTTTAATTACTATGTATACCTAATCAAGTTATTCTTCTAAAGAGATTAATGAATATTTTATTTATAAAATATGTCTGTGCTACATCATTGTTCATTTTGTGCACTATTTAAATTCTCCTTGCAGGTGTAGTCCCCATAAAATTCCCACCATCAAGTCACCCATGAAACTATCACCATAGACTCCTGTATTCTTCCCACCCATTTTGATCTCTCTCGATTCCTCTGCTGCTGAATGTCTCAGATTTATAGTTGCCTGCTAGTTTTTTTTTTTTTTTTTGACCCCTCGTTTGGTTCCCCTATATTCCTCCTCTAAGGTAAACCATCCAACATTTTTCTTTTTCCTTCTGACATATTTCACTGCACGTAAGTCCTTCCAGTTCCATCCATGTTGTTTCAAATGGCATGAGTTTATATTTTTTGATTGCTGAATGGTATTCCATTGTGTATATGTATCATCTCTTTTGATCCAGTCATCTGTTTTGGCTCATTGAGGCTGTTTGCACATCTTAGCTATTGTAAATAGTGCTGCAGTAAACATAGCAGTGTAGGTTTCCTTAGTGTTCTTGTGCCCTTTGGGTATATTCCTAACAGTAGAATTGCTGTGTCATATGGGAACTCCATTTTTAGTAGCTGGAGAGTCCTCCACACAATTTTCCATAATGGTTGCACCAGGGTACATACCCACCAGCTGTGGAAGAGGATTCCTTTTTCTCCACATCTTCACCAGCATTTGCTGCTTCCAGTCTTTTTAATATGAGTCATTCTCACCAGTGTGAGGTGATGTCATATTGTGGTTTTCATTTGCATTTCCCTGATAAGTGATGTTGAGCATTTTTTCATATACCTGGATTAATGAATATTTTAGAAATTAGTTTATGTAGCTGGATTTCCAGTCAAACTTTGTTGAACCTATTATGCCTTAAATAAAAAATCCAATAAAACATATCTAAATTCTATACCATTTCTCTAAAGTATTTCAGCTTTTGGTGAAATTACTTTTTACTAGCTGAGAACAGACAGATGCACAATGAGAAACAAAAGGATTTTTAAGGATGAATGTGTAAGAACAGAGAAAATAATTATTCAATTCCATAATATTTTGTGTAAACTAGGTTTACACAGTTATAGTAACACATTTTGTAATCATTGTCCTTTGTTTAGGCTTTTAAAATATGCTTTAAATGTACAATAATTTGTTCTACTAAATGCATGTTTGACATTTATAAGCACTAACTGCTTGATTTTGTTAGGTTTGTAAGTCAACTGTTAAGAGATGTGGTAGACTAGAACATATAGGTAGGACTGAATTTTTAGGAGGGTTCAGTTATTAAATGTTAATCAAAAACAGAAAGGGAAAATTCAAAGTGATTTTTTTTGTAACTGTTAAGAGTAGCTCTGTAAACTGAGTTTATTCATGGGATAATAATGAAAACTGGAGGTTATGGGAAGGTGGTCTCTCCCATACAAAAGCACTTCTTGGAACCAAAGTTCTAATGATGTCCACCAGAATGATGTCACTGATACCTAACTGGTACCTGTGATCTCAGAGAATATGTTCTTAGCAGATTCAGAAGACCACAGGGACTCGGGTTACCAGAACTTCTAGACTTAAAGATCTATTAACTGTATACACCATTATGTTAATACAATAACATGACAAGTGACCCTTTGCTAATGCGTAATCTAATTACCACTGAGGAAAATTTCGTCTAGAATTTTTCCATGTTTTAAAAAGCAAAAACCCTAGGACTAAGCAATTTTTAAAGATTTTAAACTTTCTGTCTACAAAAAAATTGACTCGATATCAATATTTTCTTAGCAAACATGAAGTCAAATCTTTAAGAAAAATCATTGTATCATGTAAACTCACTGACCAAGAAAAACAGCCATCATCTTAATTATCTTTTCTTCCAAGATCTGTGTTAAAAATGAAACATGTTTGGCCCTCCCTGGTGGCGCAGCAGGTTAAAGCACAGCAATGAGAATCTAAAGCCGCTTCTGCATGAGTTCGATTCCCGCCTGCCCCGGAGGTGACCACATGGCGCGGCAGACCTCTCCTGACCCGCCCGCTGTTCCCCTCAGCAGTGTACTTCGTCGATCTGCCTGTTCTGCTCCCCACTCTGTCTATGGTGAAGCCTCTCACCACCCCTGAGCCTCTGGCCTGTACCCCAGTTCTGTATGAATAAATAAATAAATCTTTAAAAAAAAATGAAACATGTTTGATCATTAAGTAGGAGATGGATACTATGATCGTCATTCTATAAAGAAAAAGTCCTTTATTAGCCTTACCCATTTGACATTTAGATAAATGTTAGAAAATAAAAGCAAAAATAAAATGAAAGGATTAAAAAATGAGATTCAGAAAGATTACCAGGTGAAGCTAAATAAGAAAAGGCTTTAATTTGGAAGAAATCACATACACCCTATTTAAAGTTTGCGATTCCTCAATAAAAAGGTCGGAGGAGAGTAGAGAAATAAAATATCTATTGGCAATATTTAAACTAAGAAATACTGAAAGACAACAAAACTTGAGCTGCTAAGATCCAAAATAAAAGAATAGGAAGATAAATCTCTTGGGCGCGAAGTTACAAATGAAGCTAAAAATGTTAAAAGTTTTCTTCTTATTAGCAGAAGATTGCTACAATGTGTATGTGTGGGTAGAGGGATATATAATATAGATTTATACCGAATTTCAAGTATTTACTTGGGATTCACTATTCTGCCACAGTTCTCCTAATTTGGTTGGAACAATAGGTGAGTTTGTGAAAATGCAAGTAAGGAATGAGCAAAAAGAGAAACACATTTGGAATGTGAATCCTTTAATAACTATATTGATTTTGAAAGAATAATAAATACAGATTTGTAAGCAGTGTATGTAACAGTTATATTTTCCTTAGACACAGAAAGCAATTACTTTTATACAACTTATCAGGCAAACACTTTTATCAGAAATAAGCACTGGGAAAAGCTACACAACATATGCATATAAGTAAGCAAAATAAAAAATAATTTGTTCATGACCCTAACTACTGAGATTCACACTCCAGGTGTTCCATCGGAGGTACAGTGGAAAGGTGGGAGATTCCTGAGCTGGGGGACACAGCTCAGCTTCGGGCGGCAGCAGTCTGGGGTTGCTCAGATTGGAGCTGTTTACCAAGATATTCCCTAAAAATGTAAAATAAAATAACAAGCAAGTCAGAATTAAAATAACAAATACCTCTTTTTGAAATCAAAGTATAACATACACTGTCAGACTGAAGTGTATTTACTTCAGTCTCTAGATACCAAATGTCAAGATACCTGTACTATATTAATTTAAAACACTCTACTTACCATACATGATCAAGTCATTACACCCAGAAGCAAGCAGTTCTGCATATGATTATACAGCAATGTAATTACTTCTCAGGAAAAGTTTACTTACTCGTTAGGTAAGTCTTGCTTACCCTTAATCTCCAGTCTAAAAAGCTCACAAATCAATTTAAGTATGAATCCAAGTATGTGGACTAACACATGAAAGTAAATGTCCTGATGCTGGAAAATACAAGATATCTACCCCTTAGCAGATGAAAACAGATCACAGACTATGGTGTCAGGATCATGATACTTACAAAATATCGACAATAATGTAAGCCACCACTACCTCAACTAAAAAAATTAAAATTTTAAAAAACAATCACTACTTTATAGAGCTATGAGCTGCACATTTACTTTGCACTGACACAGTTTAAAACCTTAATAAAGACTTTTATACAGAAACAACAGAATAACCACAAGAACTGAGAAGTAGTCTCATTTTCTGGATTGAGGCAACTGTGATATAGAGCAGCAATTGTCAAGCTCTTTAAATCATATTCACCTTCAGAAAATAAACTGACTGTGCATCCATAATATGTTTATACTTAGTTCTAATTACATGTATGCAAAATTGTTAATTCCAGGACAGAAAACTATCTTTTTCCTATTTACCTCAAGGAGCTGTCTTTGAACTACGTAATTAGGATAAGAAGATATTCTTCAAAGATTGTTTAAAAGGTTCCCTCCTATAAAATAAAAGCATTAGAAACCTGGTTGTGCATTCCAGTTCCACATTTCACAGCTGGTTGGCCCCCAGAGGTGGTATATAGGAAGGAAACCCCTCACCCCTTCCCGGTGTTAATGTGAGGGTTACAAGATAGAGTGTGAAGATGCCTGGAAGGATCACACAGGGACCATCATCCTTCCCTCCCTCACCAACTAGCCATTAAACCTTTCCTGATCTGAGTCCCTCCAGAGCACACCCTTCGGCTACACACAGTGCCTACTGGCAAATATGACCCTCTGGTCTTACCCCTCGAAAGTACAGAATAAGGGTGTAGTGACCTAGCGTTTTACTTCCTGCTCTTTCCTCGGCTATCACAACCCGAAGCCTTGGTCCAAAGCTATCAAAGACATAAAACAAGACTGAGAAAAGAAAGCAGCATTCAGAATTGGAAAGAGGGTTGTGTCAACTAGTGGAGGGGTCAAGGACATCCCAGAAATGAAGGTGAATTATAATTGAAAACAATATGAGGCTGATACTTCCTATGGTATGAATGTGGTTTATGGCTTTTTTGTTTTTTGTCTTTATAGGAAATTTCTTATCACTGATTACTAATTATCTTATTTAGGAGTATAATCTTGTATGACTACTACCTGACATCATAATTTAGACAACTGGAGATCTTACATTCAACTAACACTATGCAGCATAAGTTTGCTGTGGAGGAGGGAGTGGCGGAGTGGTATAGTATTTACTACAAGTTCTCCAGATCATTCATATAATATGCATATTTGAATACATATGAGTGAATTAAGCCTGAGACTAGATATGCTTCATTTCACCAAGACATTCAAATATTCCAGTTGTGAATGTTAGACTATTTAGTCTGAAGGGCAACAGAATATGTCAACTCCAAAATATTACTTTGATCTGTAAGCCCTTGAAAATTCCTAAATGCAAGAAAAAGCTTTCTCTGAATTCCCCTTATCTGCTAAAAGATAAATGTTCCCAAAAGGAGTTAGCTATCCTAAGTCCCCTAGCCAGTAATATCAACCAGAAAAAACTTATCAAAAGAAAAACTTGAAATCTATACTACACACAGGCAAACTTTGTCAAAACTTGCCATCTATCCTTCTAAGGACCCACTCATCTTGCCTAAAAACTTTTTTTTCCTTCCTAATAGGACTACATTTCCACCTTTCCCTAGTAAGATGCATTTAATCCTAAAATCTAAAGCATTTTGTTTCACTGCTTTCTGGATACTTCCCATATATATAAGAGGCATACATATTAATAACTGTTATTTCGGGGGAAAACAAAAGTTTGCCTTTACCAGAATGGTCTCAACTAAGAACTCAGAAAGTTAGGAGGAAATTTATTTTTCTTCCTCATTAGAATGATTTCTTAGAAAACATTTTAAGATTTTATGCAATGATACCACACTATCCTTCGATAGTAAGCTTTGGTTCTTTCAATAAAAGACCAATGTCAAAGACTATGTTCTAAATGTAAGTTCCAGGTCACCTGGGAAGAGAAAAAGGCTCTCAGCGCTGTGACCTGCTAAGTGACCAGACAGGGTCCTTCTGGATGTGTCATACAGAAGTCCCCCTCTGCTCCATCCCTTTCAGTGACATGAAGGATAGTTCGTTTCCAATATCAGGTTTAATTACTTAGGGGAAAATAGTGAACACTTGGAAATGGGAAAGATAAGTGATTTCTTCACAAGATACATGTTGAGGAAGGATTAAAGTAAGGGGATATTAAAACAGAGTGAAGGCCAATTTTTCCAACAGAGAATTTACAAACATGACCAACCATGGCTTCGTCCCTTATTTCCCTGGACAATTTAAAATGGGTAATATGTTCCACTACACTCTCATCATTCTCCTACATACAAGGTGATGCTGAGGCATTCACTACTTAGTGTCAGGCGTGCAGAAAAGTCAGGGTCTCTTTTCCTTTGTCTGCTAACAAGGGTTTATGAAATTTAGAATTTAGGCAAAAGACAAGGACACATATAAACATAAAGGGTTCAACAGAACCTGCATGTCAGGAGCTCCAGATGGACCACTGTGAGCCTGTCGAGATATTGTAGGTCATGAAATCTTCCCAGGTCTCACAGGAGAAGAGCCCAGATGGCACCCAATGAAAGGAAAACCAATTCTCCTCAGGCTTTCTTAAAAATACTATCTTTGCTAAGCCATGTGGGTTTTCAAAATATCAAATGGGACTGAAGTGAAGTTCAACTGAAAAATATATTGTACTATACAAAGAGACTAGCGGATAAAAGGCAATGGGAAAAAGCTACTGCTCTGAACACATTAAGTCTGCTTGTAACACATTAAGTCTGCTTCCCTGATATCAAATGACAACACATAGTCAATGAAAACATTCCCAAAACTCACCCAATAATCACCTCTGAATACGGACACCAAGTGCCTGCACTGAGAATATAGAATGGCTGCTACACTCTGCTTTTACTACAAGTCATCACAAAAGATGATTATAGGTATGCCCACATCTTATATTCCCCCATCTTCATCCTGGGAAATGGGTATTGACATCTCAGAAATCTTTGATAACTTGCTCAGAAAGAAAGTGAGCATGCCCTTGGCCAGGATTAGTGTCAATTCTCCAGGTACCTGGCATCTAAACAAGCCCAGAGGTGCAGAGACACTGGTCCTATTTTCATAGATTAGAAAATAATGAGAGGGTATGAATAATTTCTTCATCTTAAAAATACACTACTATCAGGCAAAAGGAACACTATAATAAACCACTTCAGGGGATTACTACACATCTAAAACAAAGTATCCAAAAACATCATTTTAAATAAGCTGATATTGAATACTGACCAGTCGTTTTCTATACAACAATAAAAATTCAACTTATAATTAACTCAGAGTGTGCATTTTGTAACAGCAATCTATAGTAATTTGATATTCAAATCTTCGCTTCTACTACCTAAGAAGTAAAATCTGAAAATTGAATACTTTATTCTCTTTAACTTCATCTATAACTTAAATCACAAGACATTCCAACTTCCCTGAAAATGAAACAAAGATAATCTAAAGACTTCCAGTTTTAAACAGGGAGTATGAAACAGCTCACAAGAGATAATTTTGTGTGCTAAAAATGACTGTACATTAGATTGAGAAATATCCACTTTATTCTCTTGTCGGTGGCTATAAAACATCCATGCTAAGGCATCTGCTATAATACTGGAAAATTGTTTTCCAGTTTCTTACAAGGCACCACCTAGAATGCTTAATAGGTTCTATTCTGTTAGATGTCAGGAAGCATTTCACTGGCCTTCATCATCACTTAATTGGCAAAACCTCATTAAGGTTGTTCAGAGTCAAACATTTTCATTCTTCCCTTTGTAACTGTATTGAACATATATGATCGTATCACTCAGTATGTTAACTTCAACATTATAATTTAAACACATGGTAACATCAGCTATATAACCAAATACCAGAAATTACAGGGTCACTTCACTTACACAGTTTAGTACCAGGGCAAAAGTAAATTTTCTCATGACAAGCACATCAAGTTAAGGATAATTAGGCAGCTATAGGGCAGTGCAGGCAGGGACTGAAATGAGAACAGTTAACACCTATGTTGCAGAGATGTGTATGAAGATCTAAGTGATAATATATGTCCTGGCTAGTGCCTCAATTGTGTTTATTCTCTTCCTTTTCATGGTCTGGAATAGGTTTCTCCCACTCTAACTGTTATTTCCAGCACTTCCAATGCTTGATAAAGACTGGGAAATACTCTGAACATTTTTAAAGAATGCATTCTTTTCTACCTACCTCTGAGCCTTACCCTTACCTTCAAAGTAAACATTTGGCACACACATAGTTAAATCTTTCACCACGACAAAACTATTTATTCAGCATACATTAAGCACCTATTTTTTCCAATCTACCAATTCATTTCAATGAGTTACTTATTTGCTCAACCAGTCCAGACAAAAGTTTTAATCTCATCAATAGAAAAGGTACTTCAAAGGGAAGCTTATCTACATATTTAAAAGTAGACAATCCCTACCTAAGTAATACTCCCTATTCTGTCCTTTAAGGCTTTCTCTCCATCAATTACTCAGCCTTTGAATCTTCAATTGCTTCCATTCTAACTC